TTCTATTCTATTCTATTCTATTCTATTCTATTCTATTCTATTCTATTCTATTCTATTCTATTCTATTCATACCTGCCAAGATGTCAGTGTTGGAGTTTTCAAGTTCTTACCACCTTTCGTCTTTGTCCTTTTGGATCTAGGCAAATAAGCTGCATGTAAGGCCCAGGCCACAGCCCAGATGGTGGTGTAAATGAAATAGTTATCTAGACTCAGGATCCGATCCTTTTCCTGTTGGGTCACAGTCAGCAGTTTTCCCCTCTCTCTGCACCGACTCCAGTGTTTCACAGAAAAGACATCCTTGGAGTAGGAGCACACAAAGGATGTTTCTACGAAGTGTTTCATGAACAAATAAAACTGCCTAAAGGCATCATGCATTGTCCTTTCCTTTCTTTTCAAAGGAAAGGAAATAATGCTATCAATCAGCTTAAAGCGGTATATTTGGTGCCTAAAAAAAAAGCCCAGGTCCCAGATCAATGTTGTCATTAGGACTTTTCCTTCAACGGGTTCCTTAAAGTTCTTATATATCTGATACAAAATTCCTATTCCAGAGTAGATTAAATCAATCTCTGCAGCATAAAGAAAGACATTCACTTGTTTCCATTTGTGATATACATGCAAATCTAGGAAGGTCTCAGAAGTTGTTGATGAAATGGTCTATGATATAACTGGACAAATGCCATTCCTGATCAGCATGGAAGTTATTGTGGTCATGAATTTCTGTCCATTGTCACTGTTTGGAACAATCAGGCCAACCAAGATCCACCTGAAATGAAGGAGCAACTTGACCATTCCTGAATACTGGAATCCTTCAGTGGGAAGCATCGGGTAGAAGAAAGGAAACTGAAGTTTATCTTTCAGGATCTGGGAAACAAAATTGTAACTAATCTGAAAAAGAAGGGAAAAAAAAGTATTTTATCCGAGACTGATGAGAGTCAAAATGTAAGATACTGATTCTGTCCCTAATGAAGGGTTAGCTCCACTTCTTGCAGTAAAGATTTCTATATTCATCATTTCTTCACGCATTGCTACTTTTGATGCTTGTTGTCTGAGAGAAGGATTATTTATTAATTTTAAAAATTTATAGCCTGCTCATCCACTGTACCCGGAAAGGTACAGTAACCTGGGAGAAGAACACCAAATCTGAATAGAATAGAATAGAATTCTTTATTGGCCAAGTGTGATTGGACAAACAAGGAATTTGTCTTGGTGCAAATACTCTCTGAATACATAAAAGAAAAGATACAACTGGGATCATGGAGAGAGGGGATATGTTTGCTTTACTCCTTCCTTCTCTTTGCTGGTGTGGCCCATCAGCCACCAGACCCTCCAGCAGCCTAATCAAAGGAGGATGAGGTATGGGAGTCGGGGTCAGCATTGGGGAACCTGGGAGCTCCAAGGAGGAAGAGAGAATGGAGCAGGCACAGAGAGAGAGAGAGAGAGAGACAGATGTGGATCCTGGGCCATCCATTAGCCCTCAGATAGAGTCAACAGCCCCCAGGGCTGGAGGTGGCTGATGAAGAAGAGGAGGAATAGCTGGGTCCAGTGCCTGATACATGGCTGCGCAGAAGGCAGAGGAGAGCAGAGCAGAGGAAAGTCATGGGCTGATCCTGGGGAAGGAAGTGACACCACTGCTAGCGAGGCCTCACCTTAGGTGTGGCAGACAACTATTCATCTTCCAACTAGACAGATCTGTTAGCCTGTGAGGGAAACTTTTTGCCAGGACTCCAAAGAAATCTTTTGAGTTCACGTCAGAGGGTTTGTTGTGTTTGGGGAGCTGGATCAGAACATTTGGATAACCCTGATCCCTCTATAATACAACTCCATTTATAAGAGAGGACCTCTGATTGAAAGCTGCATGATTAAAACTGGTCTTCCCAGCAAAGCTTCACCTGTGGGATTTTGTAGGTGCCCAACATGGATGATATCTGGATAGAGAGGCCACTTTCAGCCCCTTCAAGAACAGCCACTGTGTTTCTCTGCCTCCCACAACTGTAGTTGGGGACATTGGCCTCCCCATCTGAGAGCAGGTCCAGCAAAGCATCTGAAGTCTTCCCTGCACTGAAATAATTTTCATAGATATTGTAGCCCAGAGTGATGTTGGTTAAGAGATGGGAATCCTGGTTGATCTCCTGGATAGCAAAAAGGAAGGATAGCATCTTCCAGTATTGTGTTCCTAGTATGCTGCAAAATAATTATTAAATATACAGTAATCAATGAAATGAATATTTTTTTAACCATTTTTAATTTAGTCTATTTTTACCAAAATACAAATCATCTTCCTTAGCCCAAGCATTCTTCTGAATCTATTGGAGCAATCATGAAAAATGTAGTAGCAAATCCGCTTGCAAGGCTTTGGCGGTGGCAGGAATCCGCTTCTCTGCAGATCCCTGCTGCGCTCGCTGTCAAGGTACCCCGATCCAACTGGATTTGGGAGTTGTCGCTGCCCTGAAGGGGCAGCGGAAGACAGAGGAGATCCGGGCAGGGGTCTGGGAATATCGCACCCCCCTTCCCCAGCCGGCTAGACTCCTTTTTTCTGAGACGGTGGAGTGGCTGTCTGTATGGCAGCCACAAAGGAATCTTCAGCTGGATAAGATTGTGCAGGAGGAAGACTTAGAAGGAGAAGTTTTCTTGGCTAAACCACGACATTATGTTACTTTTAAAACACCCTGGAAACCTGACTTTGGATTGATACATTTGTTTCCAAAAGAATTTGTTACATCGGCGAAAGTGCTGAAGGAAAGCTCACTCCCCCTCCTTACAGAGACAGCAAAGGAGCACAGAAAAACCAGCTTTTTAAAGGTAAAAATAAGCTCTTTGTTATAAGTGGGAAGGGGAGGACTAAAAAAATTTTAAAAAAAAAAACTTTGTTGGAGGAGACGCCTTGAAGATTACAAGACCATTAATTAATGGTAATACGGCTTTTAAAATACACCTGGGATTTTGCCTCTGGAGAAAATACTGTAAAGAGAAGAAGAGGAAAAAAGTTTTGTTTGTTTGGATTGTTTGAGAACTCTGACATTTGGAAATTACTTCAAGATTGAAAGCATCTGGGTTGTTTTTAAAAAATTTATAATGGTACCATCGTTTGATGAACTGAAAATGGAATATGAAAAATTAAAAGAAAGACAACAAAGTGGCAAGGATTCTTTGGGAGCTGCCTTCCATTTTTTAGAAATGGTGGTTTCTACATACCAGCAAACACTGGAGGAAGGAGAAAGAGAAGAAGAAGAAGAAAAGGAAGAAGCCATTTTTAATGGACTAAAAAGTTTGACTAAGAAAGAAAATGGGAAGGGAGGAAGGGAAAAGGAGAATTTAAGATTTAATAAAACAACCAAGAAAAAGAAAAATAGGGTGAAAAGAAGGTACAATGTTAGAAAGCAATTGAAAAGAGAATTACAACAGAGAGGGAAACTTAAAAAGGGGGAGAGGAGGGGGGGGGGCAAAAAGACCAGATTGGAGAAGAAAGGGAGGGAAAAAGAAAAAAAAAGCCATGGGTTAGAACAAGATTTTAAAAAGAAAGTTTTTGTTTTTAGAGATGAAGGATGATGGATAGTTTATAATTAAAGAAGATTCTGCAAGAGTGCATAAGATAGTATTGTAGTATTTGCATTTGAAACAGTTTATTGGAATATTTAATAAAATATTAATGTTTAATAATGATAGATGTTGATATTTAATAAAATATTAGGAGACTGTGTTAAATGATTAATGCTTAGTTAAAGTTTAACTTGTTACTGTTTTAATGTTATTATAACTTTAGTATTTTATTTTTTTTATTTTAAAACAATGTACTTATTAGAATTAGAATTAGAATAGAAATTATACATTTAATTATACTATAAGTGTACTATTCTTTTATTTTAAGATTTAATATGTAGAATGTACTAAGCAGAATCAGGATGGAAATTATGTATTATTTTAAGCTTTATTTTAGGAGAAGGCGTCATACCTCAAAAGTGATTACAGGGGAAATTTTTTGTTAAAGGGAAGAGATAAATAGATGTTTGGTAAAGAACGGACAAAAGATATAAGTATAATGACTTTGAAATAAGATGAAATAAATAAAATATAATTAAGAGAGTGAAAAGATGGGAGAAGTTATATAGAAAATACAAAATGGTTAATAAGATATGAAGGGTATATAAGGTGGGCATGAATTTGATTTAGGTCTGTCAAAAAAGATGTAACCTGGGGCCAAGTCACTTTTCAAAAGAAGTTTTATGTTTTATGTTTAGTGTGTGGATTATTTATGTTTGATTGTAAATTAATAAAATCTTGGAGAAATGAAATTAAAGGGAGAGAAATTGGGAAAAGATATGTACAAATGATAACTAAGGAGGTTTTTTTTTTCTCCAATGTTTTGCTTTAGGTTATGCATTTTGTGTGCTTATGACTGATTGAGAATTACTGAAACTTTGATAGAAGGAAATATGATTGAATGAAAGTGAAGGGAGAAATAATGAGAAATTTGGAAAAGATATATATGTGTAAATGGAAGTGTGATAATGTGGAACTATGTTTTAAAAAATAATACTTTATTTGCCTTGTTGAAATTTATAAGTAATTCTTAGAAAGGAGGTTTTATACTTCTATGTGTTATGTTTTGTTTGTCTTCAAAAATCAATAAAACTTGTTCTTAAAAAAAAGAAAAATGTAGTAGTAGTAACAACAACAACAACAATATTCTGTTAATAAAATATACCTGATTATATTTAAAAACCACTAACCAAATGTGTGATAATTGAACAACTTTTGAGAGTTTGATGGCATATTTGGATGAATTGTTTCCTCAGATATATCATATTGTAATGAAACTCAAGGAGTTATTTCAATTTATATTTTATTTTAAGATACTTGGTGCCATTTAAGTTTATTGGAATCTGTTACTAGCTTTGGCTTATTCTTGAGGTTACCAGTATCTTTTCAGTTGGTCTAAGATATCAGACTGGAGTTTAATATTCTCTCTTTCTAGTTATGTTCTCCAATATTTTAGTAATGGAATTGTTCAATCTATTTTTCCATATTAAACATAGAATCATTAAGTGCACAAATTCAACCCAAGCACAAATTCACAAGGAGAATGAGTAGCTGTAACTCTTAACAAAACCAATCATTTATTGATTCTTGAACATGTTTGTGTTTTGATGTCTACTGTGTAAATTTATATTGATATCATTATAGCATTAAGGTCATTTGTATTAGTTTAAAGTAGGAATCACAGACATGGAAACACAGTGAAGTAATACATTCTGATTTGGAAGATAGGGGTAGAAAAAAGAAACCACCCTCTCCTTTCGATCCACAATCCAGCTGTTGTCTGAGGATGTCAAGAAAAGTCACCGTTTGTTCTTCAAAATCAGAAAAAACAAACAAACAGAAAGCACCCTGCTTGATTATCGTAGCTAAGAATTTCAATAGAGGCTCATCAGCTGCAGGATCTAAAAAGGATCTGCAACTTTGAAGTGGCACAAGGCCTGGCTGGAAATAAGTCAGAAATAAAGTTGCTTTAAATGTAGTGCAGAAAGATCTACTTACTCAGATACTGAAGTCACAGGAGAGTTTTCAAAGCTTAATCTTTCAAAGATAGCCTGAGTTGCAGAGATGATGCCTCCAATGGAAAGCTCTCCTGGCTTGTAATGATTCTTTGGGTCCAACTTATCCCTCAGCAGTTTCAGGGCGCATTTGATTTTGACCATCCCTGAGACTCCTTGAGCCCATAAAAGAAGCAGCAGAAACAGCAACATGATATGTTCCTGAGGGAGCCTCCAAACCTGTGTGTGGTTTGAACAAAGAGTGAGAAGAAGACATTCAGGAAAGTTTTATTATTTCAGACAGAAACTAGCCAAGGCTTCATTTCTGAAGTGGATTAGACACCTGTCCAACTTCCCTAAATTCCTCCCAGGCTCTTTCTTTCTCTAGAATCCATTTATGCACCTACCATTTTCCAAAGCCAAGGCTTCATTTCTGAAGTGGAGAGGAGAAGAAACCTCCCTCCCTGCCCTAAAAACCTCCCCAGGACCTCCCTCTCTCCAAACCTCTTTGTGGACTCATTGATTTCCAGTGTATGGTATCAGCTCCCAAGGATTCTGTTGTGAACCCAAAGAAAATCCTCTTATTGATATCTTTGTGTCACGTCTTCTGAAATGTTGCAGAAAAATCTCTAGAGAATGAGCACAAAAACAACAATTAAATGCCTATAAGTTGTATAATGGCAATAAGGAATAAAATCACAGATGGTATCCAAACTCTGGAGATGAGCTAGCTTAGAGAGGTTTCTTAGAGACACAAAGCAATTGAGTGAAGTAGAATGTTTACTCTACTTGTCATGCCCCTGGCGGAGACTGACTCTGAGCAGTCAGAGGAGGACCCAGGCCCATCCCCTATCCATCCTAGGGCACTCAGGGAAGAGAGGATCAGGGTAAAATATGGTCTACTTGGGAGGAGAGGGACATGATCCTCTTCATTGGTTGCAGGTATGAGATCTGCATAAGAGTTTGGACCTGCGTGCTAAGAGACACTGGAGACAAATTAATGTTTTATTCCTAAAGAAGGTTTATCTTGGTTGGCGTTCTTCCAATGGACTGTCCTTGGTTATCTTCCTGAAGTTGGCAATTATCTATCCTGGTCTGTCATGGAACTTTATTCAGTGCGGTTTGTTTTTGGTTTTTGCTTCGTTATCATCTCTTTGAATGTGAACTGTTTTCTTTCCTTTGAAATGTTATTTTGAAAATAGTTTATTCCTTCATTGTGAACAATTAAACAGTGAAGCCAAGTTAAAGGCATTAAAGGACTTTTAGTTACATTTTGGGTTTTGTTATATTTCTGAGATACTCTGGGTCATCACACTACTTTATTGAATTTTGAAATGGAAGAAACACAACAGAAAGAATGTATAATAAATTAGGCTAATATTTTACTTATAAAGATGTAACAAGGGGAACTTAAAGATTGAATGAATTGTTGTTATATGTTATAATCTTAAAGAGAATTTTCATAAAATGATGTATCCTTGGTATATGTCACCAGACAAATTGTACAGCCAAGGCTTTGCTGTATATCTGAATGATAGAACAGTAAACACCATCTCTGTCTTTTCTAAAAACCTCTTCAGACTTTTGCTTTTTCTAGAGCTGTTTATACAGATTTTCTACTGGTGTGACACGGGCCAACAAGGTTTTAGTGTGATATCAAGGTGGTAGTATGCAGTGGTGGGATTCATTTTTTTTTACTACCAGTTCTGTGGGTGTGGCTTGGTGGGTGTGGCAGAGGAATTGTGATGACCCGAGGTATGGTACAAAGGCTCCACAGTCAGATATTCAATAGGAGTCCCTTTATTATCTCCAACCTTGACCCCAATGTTCAGATTACCTTCTGGCTGGAGAAAAACTGTCCCAGGAACAGCCTTTGCCTCCAGAAAATTAAGTCCAAAACATGGTCAACACAAACTGTCACTTTAAGTCCAATCAAGCCAAACTGAAGTAATTAGTTGGGCAGGGCAGGAGCAAGAATTTCAGACTTGAAGGTATGGCAAAACTCACATGGTTGGGAAGATGCCAGGAACATGGATAAGCAATAACAACACAAGATAAAGTCACGTTTGCTCCCAGCAGCCTGCCGCATGCAGTCTGCCTTTCTTATAAACTGTGTTCCCAGCTGTGGCTAATGAAGGGAATCAGGGCCCTTTCCTACCCCATAAGCCATGCAACCCATGTTGCTCCCTTCTCCATTCCTCCCTGCATGCCCTAGGATGAAGAGGGGGTGGGCCTGGGTCTTCCTCTGAACTCCCTCTCCCTTGTTGTACCTCTTACTTGCTGTGCCCTTCCCCAGTTTCCTCCACAGCCAATGGAGCCACACTCCCAATCCCTGTCAGCTGTTCGGCTTCCTCCTCGGATTCAGACTCCAACAGGAGCATGACAGGAATGATACTGTAAAATCTCCAGTCAGAGGTGGTATTTGCCAGTTATCCAAACTACTCAAAATTTCCATTACCACTTCTCCAGAACTGGTCAGAACCTGCTGAATACCACCTCTGGTAGCATGTGATTAATACATTTGTGTCAAACTTCCTTTATGTATGCTGCAAGTCTCAAGAGATTACTCTCCCTTGTTTCCTATGCCAGCGGTCCCCAACTTTTGTGGCTTGGCAGCCTGGCTGGGGGTGGTGGAGAGGGGAAGTAGGCTGCGGGGAATGGTGGGCTGGCCATGTGTGCACGTGCATACGAAACTCCACTCAAGCAAGGCAGAAGAAAAGTCTTGGGGGCATGGTTTCATGCTCCTTCAGGCTTCTCCATGCCAAAGGCTTTTGCAAAGGGACAGAAGCCCTGAAACAGCACAAAATCACTCCCCTGAAGCCTTTCGCCCTTTTCCCAAAGCATTTGGGGGAGTGGTCTCATGCTCCTTCAGACTCACCAAGGCTGCCCAAAGCTCCAAAAGTGGATTGGGTGTCCTGTGCAGGCAGCCTCAGTGAGTCTGCGAAGCTGAGAAGGGCACGCTCATTCCACTCAGACTCTGCTCTCACCATTCTGATTTTGGAGCATTAGGAGTAGGTGGATTGGTGCCCTGGTTCGGGGGGGGGGGGGAGAGGGGAACTGGGTTGCACAAGCGGTGGGCCAGTGTGCATGTATGCATATGCAGCTCCACTTATGCAAGAGAGAAGAGAAGCCTTTGGGCTGCCACCTGCACCCACACTGGCCCACTTCTCATGTGGCCTGGTTTTGAACAAGCTGTGGCCTGGTTGTATGCCACAGCCCGGGGACTGGGGACCCCTGTCCTATACTACCAGAATAGAAAGGGATGGGCGTACATTTATTATACTTACTGAGTTTTCTGTTAATGATCTTGCAAAATCCCTTGCTTCGGGTTGGGGTCAGGGCAACAGATTGGAGCTGAGAGTTTACTGTCCGGATGCCCTTCCTGATACCTATGTGGAGCTCACAGCAGATATTTTGTCTTTACACCCAGAGAGAGAAATATCTGCTGCTCTCTAGGATCAAACTCACAGCCTCCTCATTATGAGCTAAGAGCTCCACTTCTAGGCATTGCCCTGATAATACTTACTGAGATAGTCCATCTCAAATCTCTTTGGCCACATCTTAGTGGTGACCACTAGGATGAGAGATGAGACACAGGATTGGATGGTCCCTCTGTGATGACAGGCAGATAGAAGAATGAAGACCATTCAGCCTGTTCTGACCAAGGCTCACCGAGACCGTAATTAAGCACATGCTTAGTTAAAACAACTCTACACAGCCATACATCAGGCACTGGACCCAGCCGTTCCTCCTCTTCAACACCAGCTACCACCAGACCTGGGGGCTGTTGACTCTCCATTTGAGGGCTGATGAATGGCCCAGTCTCTGTCTCTGTCTCTTTCTCTGCCAGCTCCGTTCCCGCTTCCCCTTCAGAGCTCCTAGGTTGCCCTGATGCTGACTTCGTCTTGTTCCTCTGATTTGGCTGCTGGAGATGCCGGTGGCCAACAAGCCACAACAGCCATTGGCAGTTCAAATCTCACCAGTTCAAGGTTGACTCAGCCTTCCATTCCTTCTAAGGTTGTTAACATGAGGACCCAGATTGTTGTGGGCAGTATGCTGACTCTGTAAACTGCTTAGAGAGTGTTGTAAAGCACTATGAAGCCGTATATGTCTAAATGCTATTTATTATTTAGCTTATGTGATATCATCCTGGACTAACAATCAGGGGTGGGATTCAAATTTTTTAACAACCAGTTCTGTGGGCATGGCTTAGGTGGTGGACATGACTTGGTGCTCATGTTTTTGGCTGGGTGTGGGCAACTCAACATCACTCACATTGAGGCATGCATCTCCTCGCCTGGCCTCTCATAACTGTGGGGATGCTGCAACAGTCGTAAGTGTGAAAAATGGTCATAAGTCACTTTTTTCAGTGCCATTGTATCTTTGAATGGTCACTCCACAAGAGCAAAATACCAGCAAAGAAGGGAAAAAAACTCCAGAGAAGTTCCTGAGACAGGAAGTCTAGTCCTGCCAAGAATGTAATAAAGGTTAACAGAGAGGCAGTTTCTGTAAGCAACACCAGAATGTTTCCTTCCTGCCTTCCTTACAGGATTAAGCCAGCAATTTCTTTTAACAACTGGTTCTCTGAACTGCTTAGAATGTTAACAACCGGTTCTAGAAAATAGGTGCGAACTGGTAGAATCCCACCCCTGCTAACAATATATATTAACATTTTACCTAGTTTAGTAAACCCCATAAAATATAAATGTTAAAAAAGATTTATATTCTAATATCCATGTTTTGGCCATATAACCATTGAATGAAGTTTAATTTATATTAAAAAAATATAAATGAACCGGTATATGTTCTCAGCCTGTGAAGCTAGTTCACCTCCTCGTGGTGTATCCTGGAGCATGAACTAAATGAAGTAGCAACTGCTGGCAGCCAGACTACTCAGCTACGAAAATGAGAAAAGAAAAAAGAAAAGACCTTTTCAGGTCAAAATAAAAAGAGGCACCAGGAATATTATTCAAATTTGCCAAATCAAAGTTGAGGGGCTCAGCAGATCCAAGAGCCAATATGTTTTCAAACTTTTATTGGACAGTAACATAGACATGGCCATCCTCCAAGAAATGCACATAGAACATAAAGAACAGCAACTGAGAAGAGGCAAGATTCATGGCTATGACCTGTTGGGAGCCACCTACCACTGCAGCCCTGGCATGGCTACATGTATCAACAGATAACAGATAATCAGAGTTGGAAGGGACCTTGTAGGTCATCTAGTCCAATCCCCCGCCCAAGCGAGAGACCCTACACCATTTCTGACAAATGGCAGTCCAATCTCTTTTTGAAAGTTTCAAGTGATGGCGCTTCCACAACTTCTGAGGGCAAGCTGTTCCATTGGTTGATTGTTCTCACTGTCAGAAAGTTTCTCCTTATTTCCAGGTTAAATCTCTCCATCAGTTTCCATCCGTTGTTCCTTGTCTGGCCTTCAGGCACTTTAGAAAATAGCATGACCCCTTCCTCTCTATGGCAGCCCCTCAAATATTGGAAGACCGCTATCATGTCTCACCTGGTCCTTCTCTTTACTAGATTAGCCAAGCCTAGTTCCTGCAACCGTTCGTTGTATTTTTTACCCTCCAGTCCCCTAATCATCCTGGTTGCACTTCTCTGCACTTTTTCTAGAGTCTCAGCATCTTTTTTATAATGTAGTGATCAATCCTGATGCAGTACTCTAGGTGTGGTCTTACTAAGGCTTTATAGAGTGGTATTAGTACTTCCCTTGATCTTGATTATATCCCTCTGTTAATGCAACTTGGGATTGCATTAGCTTTTTGGGCTGCTGCTGCACACTGCTGGCTCATATTTAGCTGGTTGTCCACTAAGACTCCAAGATCCCTCTCACAGTTACTGCTATTGAGCCTGGTTTCACCCAGTCTATATGTGTACTTTTGGTTTTTCTTGCCAAAGTGTAGGACTTTACTTTTCTCTACATTAAATTTCATTTCGTTAGATATGGCCAAGTGTTCTAGTCTGTCAAGATCCATCTGGATCTTGAGCCTATCTTCTTGGGTGTTAGCTAGGAATATAGAGAATACCTCCTTATTGTCAGTCTCTACAAACAACAATTTGGATAACATAGTAAATGATAGATGGTTAGATGGATAGATAGATAGATAGATAGATAGATAGATAGATAGATAGATAGATAGACAGATATTAATAGATGATGGATAGATATATTAATAGATAGAAGATAGATAGATATGGATTGATAGATGATGGATGAATAGATTAATCAATTATATAGATAGATAAATAGATGATAGATATTGATTGATACATGGATGGGTGGATAGATTAATAGATAGATGATATAGATAGATAGATGGTAGATAGATGAAAGATAAATAGATGAATAGATAGATATGGATGGATAGATGAATGGATGGATTAATATATGATAGAGATAGATAAATATAGATAGATGGATGGATGGATAAACAGATTGATAGATGATATAAGATGATAAATAGACAGATAGAGGTTGATTTTGTGTCTATTTTATTTTGACATCACATATTCTTTTGTATTCAGATCTGGTCTTAGGAAAATAATGAAACACTTGGGCATGAAGATGCATCCAAGAAGTCCTGCACTGGAGGGCAAGATGGAGAAGATTTGCACAGCCACCATGTACTTCCCTTTGGTGCTCAGGTATGTGGGGATGAAGGACACCCAGACACTGCAGAAGACCAGCATGCTGACGGTAATAAGCTTGGCTTCATTGAAGGCCCCAGGGAGATTCCTGGCCAGGAAAGCCACTGTGAAGCAAATGGTGGACAGGAAGCCCATATAACCAAGGGCTGCAAAAAACATGTTGACAGAGCCTTCATTGCACTGTAGAATGATTTCTCCAGATTGTGAGTGCATGTCAGATTCAGGGAAGGGTGGGAAACTGCCCAACCAGATGCTGCAGAGAAGAACTTGGAGACCAGAGCAAGAAAGGATGATAGAGTTGGCCAAACTTTTCCCCAGCCATCTTTGCACATTATTCCCTGGTTTTGTGGCCAAGAAAGCCAGCACCACTGTGATGGTTTTAGCCAAAACTGAAGAAATGGCAGCAGAGAAGATGATGGTGAATGCTGTTTGTCGAAGAAGGCAGGTGACTCTCCTTGGCTGGCCAATGAACAAGAAGGAGGTGAAGAAGGAAAGCAGGAGACAAACCAGGAGGATATAAGAGAGATCCCTATTGTTAGCTTTGAGTATGGGAGTTTCCTGGAATTTAAAGAAAACCCCCAAGACAAAAGATGTGATGAAAGAGAGGAACAGGGCAATGGACATCAAGATGGCCCCCAATTTTTCTTGATAGGATAGAAAAGTCTTGATCTTGGGGATGCAGCTATCTCGGTTATTGTTTGGATGTTGATCTGCTGGACATTTGCTGCATTGTTCTGTGTCTGAAAAAGAGCAAAAGTAACATTTACCTTAAAGCTCCTTGTTTTGTAGAAAGCTATTATCCTCTGTTCAAATTTAGGCTGACTTCCAGAGAACCTTTGGAGCCCAGGGTGACCATTTTCATCCTCCCAGAGGCTCAAGGAAAGCCTCTGGAGCTTGGGGAGGGCAAAACACCCCCGCACCATGGCGCAGGAGGCCGCCTAGGCCATGCCCACCATGGCCACACCACCCAGCAATCGAGCAGAGAACCCATTGCTAAATTTTTTGAAGCCCACTCCTTCTTCTCTCCCATGTATAGACAGCATCCTTTGATGCTACCGACCTTTCATGGTGGAGATGGTTCCTTCAGGACACAGAAGACAGTCGTAGCAGCAGAGGGGCTTCCCTTCCTGAGGCACCTTCATAAATCCAGGATGGCACTTTCCACACACCTGTAAGGAGGCAGAGTCTGGGCAGAGGGAGGAAGACCATCCAGAAAATGATTTATGATTTAATTTCCAGGAATGGTGAAAAGAGAAAGGGGTTGGTGATCTCCAGTTCAAGGCTTAGCTTTAGTAAATGTATGTCAATCTATGTAGAGACTTCAACAATCTACTTTGCTGCTTCCATTCCTTCTTTTCTATTTTTTTTTTTGTACATTTCTGTTTTTAATTTGGATTCTAAATTTACATGCTGAAATGATCATGGTAAATTTTAATGGATTATTTTTCTTTTGGGGAGATGAACAAGGATGGGATTCTACAGATTCTAACCCATTCTCTAGAACTGGTTGTTAACATTCTAAGCATTTCGGAGAACCGATTGTTAAAAGAAATTACTGGCCTAATCCTGTAAGGAAGGCAGGAAGGAAACATTCTGGTGTTGCTTACAGAAACTGCCTCTGCATTAACCCTTATTACATTCTTGGCAGGGCTAGATTTCCTGTCTCAGGAATTTCTCTAGAGTTTTTCCCCCCTTCTTTGCTGGTACTTTGTTTGTGTGGAGTGACCATTCAAAGTTACAATGGCCCTAAAAAAAGTGACTTATGATCCTTTTTCACAGTTATGACTGTTGCAGCATCCCCACAGTTAGGAGAGGCCAGGCAAGGAGATGCGTTCCTCGATGTGAGTCATATTGCATTGGCCACACCCAGCCAGTCACATGACCACCAAGCCACATCCACCAACTAAGCCACAACCACAGAAACAGTTGTTAAAAAATTTGAATCCCACCCCTTGAAATGAACCTGAGCCTAACCTGGCTGTTAGGTGAGGCTCCATTCAAAATCCAAGAAAGAAACCATTTGACTCCACTGTTATAGAGAAAAGGACTTTTCCTGGAAATCAAGTGGTAGCATCAAAAGAATTCTAGATCTGAGGCATCAGGCGTGAAAATCACATATACAAAGTGATGGCAATGTTCCCATCCCAATAGTTCAAACTGGCCATCCAATCTAAGATGTGTATAATGTCATCTGGGGCATCTTCAGGTGGTGATTCAGACATCTGGCCATTGACCTTGGCCTGGATAGATTAGATGCCATGGCTGTGCAATAAGCAATAAGCAAAAACAAGAAAGTTTCCCCAAGTCTTACAGTTCACCCTCTCAAGCCTCCAGCACTCTTCCCCGCCACCAAAGCCCAATTTACCCCCGCCCCCATTACTATGGCAGTTGGAAAGACAAGCAGAAGAAAGGTTCTTAAAGGCTGACACTGGCCCTAATGTATTTCTCTTCACAGAATAGTGAAACTTTTCTTAAATTATTAAGGATATATTCAGGGGTGGGATTCTACCAGTTCAGACCGGTCAGGTGAACCAGTAGTTCTGGTGAACATTTGGCCCCACCCACCCACCCCTTCCCTTTTCCTGTGCTTTATTTCCTTGTTTTTGAGCGCAGCTGATTCATGCGGCAGAGTGGTTTGCCGCGCATCAGCTGTTTTACTCACTGGGGATGCAGCAGAAGATAAGTATTATAGCTAAAAAATGGTCTTTTCTAAATGCTGTGCATGTGTGCGCGAAGTGTGTGCTTGCCAAACTGGTTGTTACACTGGTTGAATTGCACTACTGGACATATTGATAGATCCTTGGTGCTGTCTGATCTTGGCAATTTTCTTGCAGATGTTTCATTACCCAGCTAGGTACTCTGATAATGTTACTTAAAGGTGCAACTGGACTGGCTTATTTTTCTTTGGAAACTTTTCACTTCTCATGTAAGAAGCTTCTTCAGCTGTGATTGGATGGTGGGGAATGGAAGGATTTATACTTCTTGCAGACAGCTGGTCATTTGCATTCTTTTAGCAAGCTGTTAAGGCCACCTGGAGATTTATCTGTGTCCTCAGTGTTACCTGAGTGGTGCAAACAGGAGTGGAGCCTTCTTGGAACTGCTGAAAGGACTGTGTGTTGTAGACTGGTATGTTACCTAGTTTGTGTAATGAAATGTCCGCAAGAAAATTACCAAGTTCAGAGATCATCAAGGACCCCTCATGTCAGTTCTGAGCTAAAAATATTTTTCTTTATTGGTAAGGATATATTTCTCACAGAGAGTTTAATATCTAACCAAAGTATTGTTGCCTGTCTTAGAGGGTGTTTTATTTATTTAGTTTAGTTTGTCAAGCATGTATGAGAAAACAAGTATAAGTATGAACATAACATATAAGTATAAACAGGTGTAAGTATATTCATAATAAATGGGTATGAATAAATGGGAACAGTGGGAAAGGGATGGTAGGCACATAGATGTGCTTATGCATGCCCCCTTATAGACCTCTTAGGATTGGAGTGAGGTCCACCGTAAACAGTTTAATGTTAAAATTTTGGGAGTTTGAGGATGTAACAATGGAGTCAGGTAGTGAGCTCCAGGCATTGACCATAGTTGCTAAAGTCATATTTTCTGCAATTGAGTTTGGAGCAGTTTACTTTGAGTTTGTATCTATTGTTTGCCCATGTGTTATTGTGGTTGAAGCTGAAGTAATCATTGACAGGTAGGATGTTGTAGCAGGCAATTTTGTGTACTAAGCTTAGGTCAGGCCATAGGCGGTGTAGTTCTAAGTTTGATGATATTCAAAATCCCTCTTGATCCCAAGCAAACAATCCTGTTGACAAGAAAGTCACAAAGACTGAAAAATGTTTTTCCTATCTTGTTCAGCTGATCCATCAATATCACACCCTTCAGATGGACCATAAAGGTGAAATCCAGGGATCCCTGTTTTTCTAGGGTGCCAATCAGGACTTCTTTAATTGACTTGTTGAGAAACAGCCAGTTGACAATGATTAGATCAGCTGTCAGATCTCCTTTCTCATCTAGAAGTCCATTTATGGATGCATTGTAAATCTCAGGGTTTTCAAGGAAGGGAGGAAGCTGGAATGGAAGAGAAAATGGGAATGTTTAGATAGGATATCTGTGGAAAGTAATTGATTTGTATGACAAGAAAACAGTGAAGGTCTCAGATTCATTTTCCCCAAGCTTTCCAGGAGACCATCTATCAATGTTTGAATTATAATCCTTAATAGTTGAATAGTTTCTGGATTCTGTAATTATGCCCATGGAAAAGTAGAATACTGTACCTGGAGTCCCTATATTGTCTGTTTCTTGACCTGCCATGTCTGGAGGATATTATGAGACTTGAAAGCCTGTTCCAGCTTTTATCTAGGCAAGGTTACTCTGATATTTTCCCCTTTCCTCCAACTATCTTTGTCCAGTCTATTTCATTTAAAACAGCTTTCTTAGCAGATGTGTACATTTTGTGTCTTTTGTGCGTATGCTAAGTATTTTACATTTCCACCAGTGGTGGGATACAATTTTTTTTTATTACCAGTTCTGTGGGTGTAGCTTGGTGGGCATGGCAGGGGAAGGATACTGCAAAACCCCATTCCCTCCCTACTACTAACCTACCCCACTAATCTGCTTTCCAACTCCGTTCTCCTCTGCAGGGCAACAAAAGAAGACCCAGCCGATCAGCTGGGACTTGGGAGGCAGAAAATAGGGGTGGGACCATTCAGGGGTGGTATTTGCCGGTTCTCCAAACTACTCAAAATTTCCACTACTGGTTCTCCAGAACCAGTCAGAACCTGCTGAATATCACCTCTGATTTCCCCCTAGTTTCTGAGTGAAGAGGCTTTTGAAATTCTGGCATGTTCATCTATTTTCATCTTTTTGCCTTCTCCTCAGTGGCTAAGATGCTGATCTTGTCAATCAGAAAGACCAGCAGTTTGACGGTTTGAATCCCAAGCACTGCGTAATGGAGTGAGCTCCCATTACTTGTCCCATCTTCTGCCAACCTAGCAGTTCGAAAGCACATAAAAAATGCAAGTAGAAAAATAGGGACCACTTTGGTGGGAAGGTAACAGCATTCTGTGCGCCTTCAGCATTCAGTCATGCTGGCCAAATGACCATGGAGACATCCTCGGACAGCGCTGGCTCTTTGGCTTTGTAATGGAGATGAGCACTGCCTCCTAGAGCCAGAAACAACTAGCACATATGTTTGAGGGGAACCTTTACCTATAGTTGTGATAGTGAACCTATGGCACATATGCCAGAGGTGGCATGCAGAGGCCTCTCTGTGGGCACATGAGCCATTGCTCCAGCTCAGCTTCACAGTGCATGCGCGTTTGCGGGGTGGGGCACACGCATATTGAATTTTGGGGATGCGTACGCGAGTGCTTTGGGAAGTTGGTGCTGAAATGTTTAGCCATCACTATCCTATAGTGATAGCAATAGCATTTAGGCTTATATACTGCTTTATAGTGCTTTATAGCTGTCTCTAAGTGGTTTAAAGAGTCAGCCTCTTGCCCCCAATAATTGGGTCCTCATTTTACCCACCTCAGAAGGATGGAGGGCCAAGTCAACCTTGAGCCTGGTGGGATTTGAACTGCTGAATTTCAGGCAGCCAATAGGCAGCAGAAGTGGCCTGCAGTACGGCATTCTAACCACTGCACCACCACAGCTCCACTATAGCTCAACACTGTGTGAAGTGTTCTCACCTATCATGGAATTAAATGCTTAGAGGTTACCAACTCATCTCTCTATCATTGCCTTGTACAAGAGCCACAAAAGCTTTGTGGGAAAACCACTCCACAAACTTCCAATTAGTTTATTGGTTGAATGCCTGAAATTACATCAGTTTCCAACATTAGTTAATAAATTGTGGTGGTCGGTTATTATTTATTATGGGTTTCTTGGTCTTTTGCTAAAACAAATGAAGAAGCCCACTTAATAAGCTGTATTCAAACTGTGCAGATATTCTTGGATGTCCCAGTTCATAATAACCAACATAAAAAGCCCACTTATCCTAAACTGCTTGAGCTAGTGATACCATTGAAGGAAACAAGAAACTATTGGAAAACTTCCCTGAAAGTATCTCATTCCAGACTTATGAACTGTAATGATCTTTCTTTGTATACATCTCTAAGGAAATGACAATTGAACATACATGATAAAACCATGGCAGACTGATCCCTTTGACTTCCTTACATAAGAGAATAACAGAATAACATAATAGCAGAGTTGGAAGGAACATGGGAGGTCTTCTAGTCCAACCCCCTGCTTAGGCAGGAAACCTTATACTATTTTAGACAAATCGTTATCCAATCTCTTCTTAAAAACTTCCAGTGTTGGAGCATTGGCAACTTCTGGAGGCAAGTTGTTCCACTGATTAATTGTTCTTACTGTCAGGGAATTTCTCCTTAGTTCTAAGTTGCTTCTCTCCTTGATTAGTTTCCACCCATTGCTTCTTGTCCTGCCCTCAGGGGAGGATAACTTGACTCCCTCTTTGTCTTTGTGGCAGCCCCTGAGATATTGGAACACTGCTATCATGTCTCTTCTAGTCTTTCTTTTCATTGAACTAGACATACCTAGTTTTTGCAACTGTTTTTTATATGTTTTAGCCGGGGTGGGATTCAAAATTTTTAACAATCGGTTCTGGGCATGGCTTGGTGGTCACGTTATTGGCTGGGTGTGGCCAACTCAACATCACTCACATCGAGGAATGCATCTCCTCACCTGGCCTCTCATGACTGTGTGGATGCTGCAACAGTCATAAGTGTGAAAAATGGTCATAAGTCACTTTTTTCAGTGCCATTGTAAGCAGAGATTCTCAGTCATCCAGGTCATAGTTGTCTCAAAGGTGCTTTTTTTTTTTCTTCAAAAGGCAACCAGACTTGAGGAAGAAGAAAACATTTTGCTTTTCATTCAAGAAGCTTCATCAGTTCTGATGGCGGGAAGGGGAGGATGGAAGAATAGGTACTGACAAGTAAGACTGGATGGTGAGAGGATAGAAGGATAGCATTGACTTCATGTTTTTCACACTTAGGAATGTTGCAACAAACAAAACCCCATCCAGGATACACCTGACCCTTCAGGGTTCTGAGTGGTGCCCTCATTGCTTCTGTAATGAAATCCCACTACCTTCTTTCTATTTCTCTCCTTTTCCCCATCTCTTTAATTCTATGGGTTCCTCAATAGAGTTGGCTCTTCACATAATGTACTCCAAAATATGATGGAACCTGATCATCTCTGCCTTGAATGTGGGTTAATTTTTCTATGATCCATTTCTTGGTTGTCTTGACTGCCCATGGTGTTTTAAAATGGATACCTAACATCAAAAATGTCATCAAAAAAGCACAACAAACAATGTTCTTTCTGCGCCAACTCAGAAAGCTCAAACAGCCCAAAGAGCTGCGGATCCAGTTCTGCAGAGGAATAATTGAGTCTCTCATCCGCACCTCTATAACTGTCTGGTTTGGTTCTGCAACCCAACAGGACAGACACAGACCTCAGAGAGTAATTAGGATTGCAGAAAAAACAGTTACTGCCAAACTGTCTTCAAGGACCTGTATACTGCATGAATCAAAAAGAGGGCTGTGAAAATATTTACAGACCCCTCACATCCTGGACATAAACTCCTACCCTCAAAACTGTTTCAATTCCTACCTTCAAAATGACGCTATAGAGCACTGTGCAACAGAACTAGACACAAGGACAGTTTTTCCCTGAACACCATCACTCTGCTGAACAACTAACTTCCACAACACTGTCCAATTATTTACTAAGTCTTCACTATTATTACTGTTAATCTTCCTTGGACACACAAGGAATTTGTCTTGGTGCAAATGCTCTCAGTGTACATAAAAGAAAAGATACATTCGTCAAGAGTCAAGAATCATAAGGTACAGCACTTAATGATAGTCATAGGGTTACGATAAGCAATTAAATCATACTAGGAAACAGTAAGGATATAAATCATAACGATACAAGCGACAAAGTAACAGCCATACAGTCACAAGTGGGAGGGGATGGTTGATAAGGAGTGATGAGAAGATTAACAGTAATAGTAGTACAGACTTTGTAAATAGTTTGATATGTTGATCACATATCTTGGGACCATATAGTAGTTGTAAAATTAATGACCAGTCAAAAATTTAAAGTTTTTCAGCAACATCATAACTTGGAAACTCACTAAATTCACAAAACAAAGAGATTGGTAAGTAAGTTCTATTTGTATTTTTTTTTAAACATATTTGTCCAAACCTCACCTTTCTACCTTATTTTGACATCAAGTGTTCTTTTGTATTCAGATCTGGTCTTAAAAAAACAATGAAACACTTGGGGATGAAAATGCAGCTCAGAAGTCCTGCACTGGAGGCCAAAATGGAGAAGACCTGCACAGCTACCATGTATTTCCCTTTGGTGCTCAGGTAGGTGGGCACAAAGGATACCCAAACACTGCAGAAGACCAGCATGCTGAAGGTGATCAGCTTTGCTTCATTGAAGGCCCCTGGCAGATTTCTTGCTAGGAAAGCCACTATGAAGCAGATGACAGCAAGGAAGCCCATGTAGCCAAGGGCACCATAAAACATGGTGACAGAGCCTTCATTGCACTGTAGAATGATTTCTCCAGATAGTGAATGCATGTCTGACTCAGGGAAGGGGGTAAAAGCACCCAACCAGATGCTGCAGAGAACAACTTGGGGACCAGAGCATGAAAGGATAATGGAGTTGGCCAAACTCTTTCCCAGCCATCTCTGCACTTGATTCCCTGGTTTTGTGGCCCAGAAGACCAGCACCACTGTGATTGCTTTGGCCAAGACTGAAGAAATAGCAGTAGAAAAAACGAGGCTGAAGGTTGTTTGTCGAAGAAGGCAGGTAGCTCTCCTTGGACGGCCAATGAATAAGAAGGAAGTGAAGAAGGAAAGCAGGAGACAAACAAGAAGGATATAAGACAAATCTCGATTGTTTGCTTTGACTATGGGAGTTTCTTGGAATTTAAAGAAGATTCCCAAAACAAAGCACGTGACTAAAGAGAGGAACAAGGCAATGGAAGTTAAGATGATCCCCAATTTTTCTTGATAGGATAGGAAAGTCTTAATCTTAGGGATACAATGAGTTTGGTTGTTGTTTGGATGTTGGTCTGCTGGACATTTGCTGCATTCTTCTGTGTCTGAAAAAGGGCAAGCATAACAATTATCTTAAAGGTTGTTCTTTTGTACAATCAGTGGTGGGATTCTACATTTTTTCCTATCAGTTCTACGAGAACGTGTTTCACGCGTGCCTGACTCAAAAATTGCCCTCTGTGTTAGTGCTAGCGAGGCAAGCTGTTTTTAGCTCAGCTGAGGTGCAACAATCCTCTCTGCTATGCGAAGCAGTTGAGCTAAAAAACAAGGGAATGTAGGACAGGAAAGGGCAGGTGCAGGTGGGGAGGACCAGCCAGAGGTGGTATTTGCCGGTTCTCTGAACTACTCAACATTTCTGCTACTGGTATGCCAGAACTAGTCCAAACCAGCTGAATGCCACTTCTGTGTATAATGCTAATAAAAAGCTGCCAGAAATGTATGTTTCTTACTCCATGAACAAATAAAAAAGCAAGTTGCACATTTTTAAGATTCCACTACCAATTAATCCAGGCTGTGCAGGAACACAAGGCTTTGCTGCCCACATGGCCCACAGGAACACAAGGCTTGCATCACTTGCATTGCAAACAACACAAGGTAGTGAGGGCGGGGGGGGGGACTTGACTCACGTACCTGGCCTGGCCACCAGGCTGCTTCTTTCCACTTCTTTCTTCTTCTGCTTTTGGCTGCATGCAAGGAAAGCAGCAAAAGTCTTTCTCTCCCTCAAACTCTGCCAGAAATGTGTTTTTGGGACCTTGCAAGGCATCCTGTTCCAAAAGTCTGCGCCGGCAAAGACTCATTTTGGTGGAGTTTGGGAGAGAGAAGGAAAGACTTCTGCTGCTTCTGCTGCTTTCCTTACATAAAGCCAAATCTCTCTCTCCCCACGTCTGAGAACGGAGCTGGAGATGGTATCCTGCAATCCCAAATAAAGAATGATTGATCGGTAGGAAAATGGGACAGGAAATTTTCCTGCAGATTTTTTGGGGGGGATTTTCCCAGGGTCTCTGGTCTGCGGGATTTAAAATTATGAGTTTGGTGGTCCCTGAGGTCCAAAAGATTGGTGACCCCTGAACTGGAGGAACGTAGTGAAGAATAGAGCAAAGTTGCTCAAGGAGGCTCCTTGCCAAGCAAGACAGTAACTAATTGAAGATAGATGGTTGCAACCTGATTCCATAGGGAGCCTTGGCGTATGTTTTCCTATTGGAAACTACTAATCTGGTAAATCCTGCTTGGGCAAAAATACCCTGAGATTCTGACATCGGAAAGTGGCTGACAAACTGAGCTTCACTTCCTGAACTTCAGACTGGATTTTTGACTATTAATGTTAGTATCTTTAATATTACTATTAAAGATAATAAAGATTTAAAAGGTGCAATTAAAACTCAGATGTGCTTAGGAAAAATGAACAGCTGAAGAAAAAAGATGGCAGGAGAAGTGATTTTCCGATCACTCCTTACTGAGAATTACACTCTTTATGATCCCCTCTTCTCTGTAGGATCACAACCGTCCAAAGGTTGTCTTGGGTCCTTCCTAATCTCTCCTTCAAAAACAGGGAGCAAACCCACCAAATAACCGGCTTTGGTGGTGGAATCAGCTGTTTGTCAGTGGGAGAAAAAGCTGCCCACCACTTAGTATGCCATTTTGGGAGAAATTACTTCTGCCCATTTCTGTTGAAACTCTCCCAGCAAACTTTCTTTCCAAGAGACCCTTTTATGATTTACTTCAAGGGTGGGATTCTACCCGTTCAGCCCGGTTCTGCTGAAGTGATAGCTCTGAAGATCGTATGGGAGCAAATCGGTTCACTCTGAAGATCAGATGTTGGGCCTGGCTCCATACTGTCCTTTTATTTCCTGCTTTTGATCCTGAGCTGCATCGCGCGGCATAGTGGATTGCCGTGCATCAGCTGTTGAAGAGACAGGGAGAGTGCAGGAGTTCAGGAGGAGGTCAATAGGAAAACCTCTGCACATGTGCAAAACATGCCCACTAAGCCAGGCCCACCGAACCGGTGGTAAACCAATTTCAATCCCACCACTGATTTACCTTATTTTCCCTATCTGCTGTTTACTTACTCAATCTTGATTAAGCTGTTGTTCTCACCTAGCAACTCCATTTGTGTGAGTTTGAATATTGAAACAGGAAAGGGCCATCAAGGCACCTGACAGGGACTGAAGAAAAGGAGGTAATTCCTGCCACACTGAGCTCAAGGTAATTTTAGGACTTTCTGAAGCACTTTTTTTCCCAAGAGTTTTCAGACTTTAATCCCACTAGAGGAAGGCTCTTCAAACTTGGCAAGTTTAAGACTTCTGGACTTCAACTCCCAGAATTCCTGAGCTAACATGACTGGAAGAGGAATTCTGGGAGTGTAAGTCCACAAGTCTTAAAGCTGTCAAGTTTGAAGACACCTGCACTAGAGCAAGAAGGCCTAACTCAGTTCTTTCTAATCACATATCTCTTCCTCCCCCAGTGTCAGGCAATAATCCATGTCATCATGCTCTGCAATTTGTAACTTTTAAGAGAAATGGAGTGAATAGCAATTTGAAATAATGAAAGGTGTGATAAAAATGAAGGATATGAAAGGGCATCTCCCTGCCTTGAAGATAAAGAGAATAGAAATTAATCCTAAGAAAGACTTAAAGCACAGATTGGACATTTTTTCTTTCCCTAATTTGACTTCACCCCTAAAAGAGAAATTGTAAAAAGAAGAAGCTTGTACTCTGCCTGGACTGTTTGATGACTGTGGGACTTTGGGACTTTTGGGAACTGTTTTAAGTTTGGAAATAACTGATTGGTTTAAGAAGAGGATACAGAAAGAGAAGAAGAAACAGTTTAAAATGGCTCTATCTCTTGATGAACTAAAAAAACAATATTTAAAAATAAAGAAAGAAGGCAAAGATGTTATGGGAGAAGCCCTTTGTTTCCTAGATATGGCGCTTGTCATGTGTCAGCAGATTAAACAACAGCTGGAAGAAGCTGAGGAAGAAGAAGCCATTTTTAATGAACTAAATGGTGTGACTAAGAAAGAAAGGAGAGGGAGAGGAGCGAAAAGGAAGGACTTAAGAAATAAAAAAATGTTTATGAAAGAGAAAAAGAAGATGCAAAAACAACAGAATGCTAGAAAGCAAAGGGAGAGAGGAGTGCAACAGGGGGGAAATCAAGAAGGCAGAGGTTTGGAAAGGAGGGGGTAAAAAGTTTAGGCGGGCTAAGAAGGAAAGGGAGGGGGGGAAAGGTTACAAAGGTATAAGACAAGATAGAGGAAAGGAAATTTTTTTTAGGGATAATGGGCAATGTATGGGGTTTTTTTTCTTTAAAAAAAGGGGATTCTGCAAAGTACACATGAGTATTGTAATAGTGGTATTTGTATTATAAGTAGATAATCAGAACTTTTAAAGATCTAATAAAAGACTAAAATATCAAGGTATAACTTTAAAAGGTTTAATAATGAATGATATTAAGTTTTAATAAAATACTAAAGGGAATGTTTAAAATATTAGTTTAAATATAGAGTTTAATGGACTAATGTGTTGATTGTTATGGATTTATTATTGTAGTATTGGTTTCTGAAATAGTAGAATGTACTAAGCAGAATCTGATTGGGATTTAGGTGTTATTTTAAATTTTAATTCAGGGGAATGGTAGAAAGGCATCATACTCCGATTAGTGATTCCAGGGGAAACTATTCTTTTTTAAATTGGAAATGAGACAGATGTAAATGGAGAAATGGACAAAAGATATAAAAATATTTTTCTTTAAAGCAAGATTAAATATATAAAACAGAATTAAGATGAGGCAAAAGTGGAGAGGAGTTATATAATAGATATAGAATGGTAAATAAGAAGGGTAATGGTATATAAGAAGAGCATGAACTCAATTGAAGTCCATACAAAAAGGGGTAATCTGGGGCCAAGTTACTTTCTAGAAGAAAGTTTTATGTTTTTATGTTTATGTCTTATGTGTGTGTGTTTAATTAAGAATTAAATAATAAAATCTCAGAGGAAGACTAGATGAGAATAATTATAAATAAGCCAGAGGAAAATATAAATATGATGACTGAATACCAGATAAATTAGAAAGGAAATATGATTGAATAATGATTAAAGAGAAACAATGTGGAACTTGGTAAAGGGAATTTACGTGTTTATATGGAAATGGGATAAATTATAAGTACGTGATATAAAGCAATATGTTACCTGCCTTGTAAAGATCTACAATGGAAAGAGGTTTTATGTTTTTAATGTTTAATGATGTTTTGTGTTGTTTGTTTGTAAAATCAATAAAACTTTTTTTTTTTTTAAAAAGAAAGGGCATCTCCCTAGTAATCCTAAACCATCAATGATCCCCTATCTGTTAATATTCTGCTCCCAGTTTAACCTTCAAGGTCATGTCTTAACACTCACTAGGCAAATATGTGTGTGTGTGTGTATGGTATTTAGGTTTCTTCAGGTACCTGAAGAAACCTAAATACCATATATATAAATACCCATGAAAACATAAGAAAACACACACATACACACACATATTAGAAAGGTATAAATTGCTAAACTGCCTATCAAAATGAAAAATGTTGGGGTAAGTGGTAAGTGGTTTTCCCAGAAAGGTTTGCCCATTTCCTGTGGTGCCACCTACCTTCCATGATGGAGATGGTTCCTTCTGCACAAGGTTGACAGTCATAGCAGCAGATGGGCATCCCTTCCTGAGGCACCTTCATGAATCCAGGACGACAGCTTTCCACACATCTGGAAGGAGGCAGGGGCTGAAAAAGGAAGTCCATCCAGAAAATGAGTTATGCTTTAATTTCCAGAAAAGGGGAGAAAGGAAACAGGTGGATGATACCCAGTTCAAGGTTTAGCTTTGCAAAATGGAAGCCTATATAAAGAGATAAAACAATCTGCTTATTGCATGTTGTTTCCCTTTCCTTCCATTTTTAATTTAGGTTCTACATTTACATATTAAATTGCTCGAGGTAAAGCTTAATGGATGTTATTTCCCCTTTGGGGAATGAACCCAAACCATCCCTGTCTTAGATCTTCTTACTTTAACAGAAGGCTAGTGAATTTAGTCCCTTAAATCAATTGTCTCCAACTTTTCAGGCTTTATGGACTGACAGTGATAGCAGGGATTGAGGGAGAAGGAATGATTCTCCACAAGCAGCAAGCAAGTAGATTTGTGTGTTGTGTCCAATTTGGGTCTGATACTGGTGCCGCAAGGCCAGATACAAGGTTTTGTCTCCTTTTATTGAAGCACTCCATGAAAAGGGGTCCTGGACAAAATGCCAAGGAACCCTGAAACATAGAACTTAGAAAGCTCTATACATTTTCACTAAAGCAGTAGGCAGGATAAGGTGGGATATATATGAAAAACATCACCTAATAAACATCTTAGTCATGATCTAACCGTTATTCTGTTAGTCTCTAGCCATCCCTTGGTGGCGCAATGTTAGAATGCAGTATTACAGGTTACTTCTGCTGCAGCCAGCTGCCTGTAATTTGGCAGATTGAATCCCACCAGGCTCAAGGTTGACTTAGCCTTCCATCCTTCCGAGGTGGGTAAAATGAGGGCCTGGATTGTTGGGGGCAAAATGCTGACTCTGTAAATTGCTTAGAGAGGGCTGTAAAGCATTGGAAAATGGTATATAAGTCTAAGTGCTATTGCTTTCCCTATTCCTGGATCTTAGTGTCAGGGTTCTAATGGATGCCCTAATTAAACCATGAGCTCTGAGCCAATAGCAGGCCAGGAATACTTTACAAGTTGACACTTAGCTAATGAGTGCTTCAGGTTATCTAATACACATTCTATTTGCTCCAGGCACCTCTATTCCTAACTTCTAGCTGAGGTCTGCAAGATGCCTAGCTCTGTGTTACTTTTATCATCTTTCTAACCATATGCTTTCAAACTGCTAGGTTGGCAGAAGTTGGGACAAGTAACAGGAGCTCACTCCATTATATGGAGTTAGGGATTCGAACCGCTGAACTGCCATCCTTTCTGATCAACAAGATCAGCTTCTTAGCCACTGAGCTACCGCATCCCTTTTTTATGAACTACTATAAGTCCATGTATTTGCAATACACTAAATAAATAAATGATCTTAAATGGACTCCGGAGGATGGTAGAGGACAGGAAGGCCTGGAGGAACATTGTCCATGGGATCGCGATGGGTCAGACATGACTTTGCAACTAACAACAATAAATAAATAAATAAACATGAATTAGCATTCTTCATTCTTGCCACACCATCTGCACAATTACAGGCTTCCTGGTATCCTTTCAAGGGCATGCCATAACCTTGTTTGTTTTAGCAAACAGCCTATCACATGTGCTCAACTACCCACCACTTAAGTGGCCTGGTTCTGAATGTGCTGTGGCACAGTACTGGGCTCCACCCCAGATGTTGGGGACCCCTGTCTTAAATGGTTAAGGATATATTTTTGGTGTCTAATCCAAACAGCCCAACACAATGGTCAGATATGGGAATTTCCGTTTATACCCTACAATGAACATCTGTACATTTGTGGAGCGGCAGAGGTAGAACACCTGGCTCACATCCTATTTGATCATTCACTGTATAAGAGGGTGAGAGATAGGTACCTTTGTCTATATACCAAATGAATGACCTATTGGGATCCCCATATCAAAAGAACTTACCTTATGTGTGGCCAGAATCTGAAAATAACACACAGCAGAGGTACTTAAGCAAAATGGTTCAGCTGAGATCTGCATATGTGGGACTGATTGGGGTAGATTGCAGGGGTGGCATTGAAATATAATTTTATCATACCTTACTGTAGTCTATTCCAATTTCATTTTAGACCCTATTTTATTCCAATTTCACTTTAAGTGGTATTTTATCCAATTACATTTTAAATTGCTTTTATCAAATTGTAGTAATAATTTGTTTCTGGAACTTTGCACTTTGATGTGGCCCAAGGGCTAATCAATAAACAAAGAAAGGTGTGATATGTAAAATTACATACTAAGGATTATGCCTGTGAAAATGAGAAATGTAAGTAACACCATATTTATCCCATCAATGACCTATGATAATGGCTGTGATGGTGAACCACAGGTGGCACATAGAGCCATTTCTGCAGGCATACGAGCCCCAGCCAAACTTACTGGCACTGTGCATGCGCGTACCTCCCAGCTGATTTTCGGCTCGTTTGAGGCCTTTGTCACCCTTCTGGAGGCTGGAGGAAAGCCTCTGCAGCCTTTGGAGGCTGAAAAATGAGCACATTTTGGAACTTCCGGTATTTCCGGAAGGCCCGTTTTTCAGCCTCCCAAGACTGCAGAGGCTTTCTTTGAGCCTCTGGGAAGGCGAATAAGGCCTGAAACAGGCCAAAAATCAGCCAGGAGGCAGATAAGGGGATGGAGTGGGGCGTTTGCACATGCATGTGCAGGGGCGGTGCATTGCATGGTGGGTGCCGGTGCGCGCACGCTTTTGGAACACCACAACAAAAACTTTTGCCATGGCAACATTACTGGATATTACTGAATATTAAGTAATGATTATATAAATCACAAAAACAAGGTTGTTTTGTACTCAGGAATATGTAAAATTTAAAATTTCTGGCTGGAATATGTAAAATGTCAAACCTCTGGTGAGTACATGTGTAAAATCTCTAGCAGGTCACCCTAACCTGGCAGAACACTGTATAATGTGTTCTTGTATTATATGCTAAAAATTAAGAAATGCCGATGTTAATACCAGCATCCTAAAATAGACAATCTGCCAAACAGGATAGGATATGCCATAAGAGCTGGAAATGAGATAAGTGAGTGGGCAGTGGCTACTGAAAAATTACCCAGTAGATCTAGGGAATTACCCAGAGAAACAGGATAAGGTGATGTTAACAGAATCTTGTATGTAGAAGTGTCATCACTTGAGACCTTCAAGAAGAGATTGGACTGCCATTTGTCAGAAATGGTGTAGGGTCTCCCGCTTGGGCTGCGGGTTGGACTAGATGACTTACAAGGTCCCTTCCAACTCTGATTATCTGATTAAAAGTCTCCAACATGCCTTTGGAAGGGGTCTCCTGTCTCACTCATTTGAGGGAGAAGGGATCCCGGCCTTTGCAAATGCTAAATAAACAAGCTTTTATTGTTCCTGGTCTTCTGTTGCTTTTTTCTGACTATTATCACAAAAGGTATACAATCAAAGAATGTGATGCCTCTATTGGAGAATAACAGAGGACACAGAAAGATTCAAATGAAGACATTCCCCACCTTGTTCAGCTTATCCATCTCTGCCACGCCCTGTGGATTGACCATAAACTTGAAATCCAGGGATCCCTGTTTTTCTAGGCTGCCAAACATCACACTGGTAAATGAGCCATTGTGAAACAGCCAAGTGACAATGTCCAGGTCAGCTGTCAGGTCTCCCTTCTCATCCAGATTCATTCCATCTATAGATTTATTATAAAACTCAGAGTTTTCAAGAAAAGGATGAAGCTGGAAGGGAAGCCAGAAATGGGAATGTTTGAGCATGATAGCCAGACTTCTATGGCAAGACCCTTTTGTTTGTAAGATGCGAGAGGAATGAAGGATTCATTGATGAGGCTTCTCCAGAAATGATTTATCATAATCCTTAAACCACTGCTATTATATAATTACTATTACATACGAACTAGTATGGTCTCATGCAGGGGTGTCAAACTCAAGGCACAGGGCCCAGATCTGGCCCACGGGTGTTTGTGGCCCTAAAAAGGACCGTTTAGGTAACCAAACATGGCTACTAATATGAAAATGGCCACCTGGTGATAAGCAATAAGGGCTGGTGAATTTCGTATTAGTAACCATGTTTGGTTACCTAAACGGTCCCTTTCAGAGTCACAAGCAATAAAAAAGTTAACAAAACACTAGCATCGGCCTTAGTAATTGCATCACGTATGCCACTGGATATGCATCAGTTAATCTGTTTTCATAGTCATTGTAAGCATGCATTGTAAGAATGCAAGAAAATTTACAGTCCCCATCCAACAGCACCAAATTGCAAAAAGCATATGCTTTGCACTTAAAAACCACCAGTATTTATTTAAATATAACAATATCCGCATAGCAGTTAGCATAAAATATCATAAAATCAATGGCCTATCCAAAAAATGTCATAAACCATAAACTGTAAAGTGTGCAGGACTTTTTCACACAGCTGTAGATCTGGCCTATGGGGCCATTCTGGAAATAGGAAAAGACGGCCTGTGGTGCCTCTGCCAGCCAAAATAGAGTTCTCCTGAGTTCTGTTTTAGCTGGCATAGGGTTGGCAGGAGGCCGTTGCAGCCGAATACAGAGCTCGGGAGCTCGTTTTCACTGGCAAAATGCTTGGTCCACCACACAAGCCCCCAATATGAATGATGTCGAGCTGGCCACAACCACCTTGCCCTCCCTCCCCCAAGGTCAAACACATCCCTGATGCAGCCCTCAATGAAATCGAGTTTGACACCCCTGGTCTAGTGGTTAAGCCACCAGGCATAGAAATCAGGAGACTGTGCCTCTGTCTGAATCTGTCAAGAGGATGGTGGGAGGTTTGTATGTTCAGGCTTACAAGATTCTTTTAAGGTAGCCTTACAATAAAATCAAAATAGTTCATAGAGCACTGCACATCAGAACTAGACACAAGGACAGTTTTATACCTGAACTCCATCACTCTGCTAAACAAATAATTCCCTCAACATTGTTCAACTATTACAAAATCTGCACTACTATTACTATTAACCTTCTCATCACTCCTTATCACC